TCCCCAGGCCCAGCCAGTCCCATATCCCGCTCCCCAGATCACCCCCTGGGCCCAGCTGGGCCCGTATATTCCCTCTCTGCTCACTAGATCATCTCTGGGCCCAGCCAACCCCATATCTCCCCTCCACCCCAATCATCTCTGGGTATAGCCAGCCCAATATCCTCCCTCCCTGTTTCCCAGATCAACCCTGGGCCCAGCTGGCTTCATATCACCCTCCCTTCCCGCCGAGATCACCCCCCGGAGCTGAGCTGGCCCCATATTTCCGCCCCCCCCCAACTCCTCCCAACCCTGGCACTCACCCAGCCAATGAGGCCTGGGCGCAGCTCACAGAAATACTTGAGGTCAAAGGAGCCCACACGTGGGTTCAGCTCGTGGCCCATGAAGAAGTCATAGATGGGGTTCCCTGTGGGCAGAGCCGCCGCCACTCCAGCACCCGCAGTGCCCCTGGATCCAGCCCCCCAGGCCCAGCCAGGCCCATATCCCCCCCGTTGGATCCTGGATCAGCCCTGCCGGGTGCACTCCTACTCTAAACCACTCCCATCCACAGGCCCCACCCAGAGCTGGAGTGAACCCAGGTATCCGGGTTCCCCTGCTCCAACCCCGTTTACCCCACAACTCTGGCTCCCAGCCCCCTAAAACCCATTAGGATGCCTCTGCTAGGAGAGAACCCAGATGTCCAGCTTCTCCCTTTGCATATTGATCCCACTCCCCGCCCTCTCCTGGGCCCAGCAAGGCTCATACAAGGGTTCCCTCGAGCCTGCCCAGGACACCCCCAGACTCACCCGAGTTGCCGCCAGGTGCCAGGGCAGCCTCGGAGGCCAGCAGGGCCTTGAGGTAGAGCAGGAGGCTGAGGCCAAAGGCCACGAGAGTGGCAGCGCCAGCGAGCTCCAGCAGGTGGTCGTGGATGAAGCTGAGGCGCAGGCCTGCGGCCAGCCCCGCACCCACCCCCAACGCTGTCAGCCCCAGCACCTGGAAGGCTTTGGGAGGGTGGGGTGGGTTAGAGACAGCAGCAGACACTGCCCTGGGTCCAACCCCAACTGCCCTAATCACCAGCCCCCACTCCCATGTCCCAAGCCAAGGGAACCCAGGGGTCTGGGCTCTCAGACCCCCCTGCTTGCACCCCACCAGCCTCCACCCCCCTCCCAGCGCTGGAGAGAACCCAGGAGCCCGGGCTCCCAGGCCCCATGCCCCTTCCCCTCCCAGAGCTGGAGAGACCCACAGTGTCCATCTGGGCTCCCACGTGCCCCAGCCCCCACTCGCCTCCCAGAGCTGGGAGAGGAGCCAGGCATCCACTGCCAACACCCACCGTTGACACGATACTGGAGCCGGGTCTTGTCCCGCAGGATGATCCCCTCCGTGACCTAGTGGAAGCCACAGGCAGTGTCTTACTGCTGGACCCTCCTCCGCACCCCACCAGTAGCCAAGCAGGGAGAGACCCCAGGCGTCCGGCCCACAAACCACCCTGCTCTCACTCCCCTCCCCAAGCCGGAGAGAACCCAGGTGCCCGGGCTGCCAGGCCCCACGAGCGCTCACCTTGCCCATGGGCAGCATGTGGAGGGCGGCCTGGAGGCCGAGCCAGCCGAGGACAAGGAGGAGGGCTTGGGGGTTGGCGAGGATGCGGGGGGCGGGTACAGGGGGCACCTGCAGGACACTGGCCTCCTCGGTCCCACAGGCCGTCAGCAGGTACCACATGGCACCCGGGAGCAGCAGGGTCAGCACCGCCGTGCCTGGGGGGAGGGGGTACAACCCAGGGGGCCGGTCTCCTGCCACAGCCCCCAAACCCCACTTCCCTTCCGGAGCTGGACAGAATCCAGCTGGCCAGGCTTCTGGCCGCTCCTGCTGTAACCCCCACACCCCCACTTCCCTTCCCACCATGGATACGACCCAGGCGTCCGGGCCCCAGCCCCAGCGAACCAGACCCCACTCACATCCCAGTGCGAGGAGGGAACCCAGGCGCTGGGCTGTCACCACCCGTCACCCACCCTAGCCCCCGGCCCCCACTCCCTCCCAGCCCTGGGGAGGACCCAGGATTCTGGGCTCTCCCCTTCGCCCTGTTTCTTCTTACCCAGGGCCCCCCCAAACTCCATCTCCTTGGTGCGCGGGACCCGGTACCGGTCCATGGTGCCAGCAGCTGAGGCCCGCAGGGGTCTCTGCTAGAAGGGGGGGGAAGGGCTGAGTGGCAGGGGCACAGCAGGGCTGGGGGCAGGAGGCTGTGGGGCAGGAGTGAGGGACACTGGGCTGCTGGTTGGGAGTGAGAGGCACCAGCAGGGCTGGGGGGGCGAGGTTGTGGGTTGGGAGCAA